CCTGGTGCTCCTGGTGCTGCTGCTGGTGCTGGTAATGGTGGTGGTGGTGGTGCTGCTGCTGCTGGTGCTGGTGCTGCTGCTGGTGCTGCTGCTGCTGCTGGTGCTGGTGCTGCTGGTGCTGGTGCTGCTGCTGGTGCTGGTGCTGGTGCGGCTGCTGGTGCTGGTGCTGCTGGTGCTGGTGCTGCTGGTGCTGCTGGTGCTGCTGCTGCTGCAGCTGCTGGTGCTGGTGCTGGTGCTGCTGGTGCTGCTGGTGCTGGTGCTGCTGCTGCTGCTGCTGATGATGATGATGATGCTGATTCTGCAGCAGCTGCTGCTAATGCTGTTGTTGCTGCTGCTGCTAATGCTGCTGCTGCTAATGCTGCTGCTGCTGCTGCTGCTGCTGCTTCTGCTGCTGCTGCTGCTGCTGCTGCTGCTTGTATAGGTGCACAGCAGCAAGCAGCAGCAACGTATCTCTTGCCTGGAATCCGAGCCCCTTTACGACAGAGCCAGCTGCTGCTTATAATATATACAGGTAAAACTAGTGCTGCTGCAGCAGCAGCAGCAGCAGCAACAGCAGCAGCAGCAACAGCAGCAGCAGCAGCAGCAGCAACAGCAGCAGCAGCAGCAGCAACAGTAGCAGCAGTAGCAGCAGCAACAGTAGCAGCAGTAGCAGCAGCAACAGTAGCAGCAGCAGCAACAGCAACAGTAGCAGCAGTAGCAACAGCAACAGTAGCAACAGTAGCAGCAGCAATAGAAGCAGCAGCAGCAGCAGTAGTAGTAATAGTAGTAGTAGTAGTTATAGTAGTAGTAGCAGCAGCAGCAGCAGCTGCTGCTGCTGCTGCTGCTGCTTTTGCTGCTGTAATGGGGTAGCGGCGCTGCATTCTGTGGAGGCAGAGGCTGCAGGCGGACAGCAGCAGCAGCAGCAGCAGCAGCAGAAGCAGCAGCAGCAGCAGCAGCAGCACCAGCAGCCACAACTGTAGCAGTAGCAGCAGCAGAAGCAGCAGCTGAAAGAAGAGCTGCAGGACCAGTAGGAACAGCAGCAGCAGCAGCAGTGGCAGCAGCAGCAACTACAACAGCAGCACTAGCAGCAGCAGCAAAAGCATCAGCCGCACAATCAGCAGCACTAGCAGCAGCCTCCGCAACAGCAGCTGCTGTTGCTGCAGCAACAGCTGCTGCTTCAGCAGCAGCACTAGCAGCAGCAGCACTAGCAGCAGTAGCACCCCCATATGAGCAGCAGCAGCAACAGCAGCAGCAGCCATAGCAGCAGCAGCAGCATCAGCTGCAGCAGCAACTATATATATATATATATATATATATATATATATATATATATATAT